TATTCTATAGTGATTTTCTAAGCGTAGTTTACATGTGATACAAGGCCGAACGTATGAGCCACCCAGTGACTCCATTTACTCAAGCTCTCTAGGTAGGTTATGCGTTGTTTTTCTCTGTCCCTCTTGCCTTCAATCTCCTAAACCTTGCTCCGCCATCCATTTACTCAAGCTTGCTAGGTAGGTTATGCGTCGTTTTCCCCTGTCGCTCTTTCCTGTTAAGTCGTCATCTATCTAGCGAGACAAGCTCGTTTACCATTAAACCACGTCGAAGTTCCCAAATTAACATTATTCTATGTTTTCTCTGGTAATGCCGAATTTTGTGTTTTTTTGTTGCTGATGCGGGGTACTTGAAATAAAACAGCGGAATTTTTCCTGTTTACAGTTTTTTGTAGGTACCCAGGAATCACCCTGAAAACTTCAGACCTCCGTGACTTCAAATTAAAATCCTATTTTTCGGTAACTATTCCAGCGCTGTCAATCATAGAATAAAATCTCATGCAAGGTTATTTTTTCTTTTGCGTCTGTAATGTCCCAGATTTTTCCCATGAAAATAAATTGTTTCTTTGTTTTATGCCATTTGGGTTCCTAAATGGCTTCGTAGGAATGTTCTATTTTTAGACAGCAGTGGGGGGAACTTTTATTCAGCTATAATATTGACAATAACTATTATATATCTTTATCAATAGTCTTTTGTTAGATATTTACTGAGCGAGACCAGATTTAATACAAAGCAGCATTCATCGTACACCAAATAGGGAAAAAATTCGCAAACAAAACCCTAACCCTAACCCTTTACTCAATGAATACTATTTTTCTTTATAACTATTTCACCCGTCCAAAATGGCAACATATTTTGCTAAATCCTTTAAATAGAAAGTTTTCGCATATGAGTCGATTTGTTTTCGAATTATTATATAAATATGTAGTAAGTCTGAGGGGATCACTTTTATTACTTAATAACAATAGAAAAGCGACCCTCATTTTATATCCGGTAGAATCTTTTTTTCATTGAAACCAAGTAGCGTTTCTGATAAGCTTTTTGTCTTTCCATGCGATCAAAACAGAATAGTCCACTATTCATGAGGTATTAGCAAGAGGTATTATATATAATATATAAATGTATTTCCCCCACCCACTTCTTTTGTTCTCACAGCATCTACGCCCTGCCAATATATAATAAATAATGGACTATTCCATTTTGATTGCGCGGGAAGCCAAAAGACTTATCAGAGACGCTACTTGGTTTCAGTGAAAAAAGAAAAAAAGTCAGGACTGTTTAACGAACCTTGCTAATATCTCATGAGTAATGGCCTATTCTGTTTTGATCGCATGGAAAGACAAAAAGCTTACCAGAGACGCTACTTGGTTTCAGTGAAAAAAGACAGAAAGAAAGATAGAAGTGTTTAACGCCTCCTGCTAATACCTCATGAATAATGGACTATTCCATTTTGATTGCGTAGAAAGACAAAGGATTTATCATAGACGCTACTTGGTTTTAGTCAAAAAAGAAAGCAAGATAGAAGTGCTTAACATCTCCTATTGATACCTCATAAATAATAATCTATTCCGTTTTGATCGCGTGAGAAGGCAAAGACTTATCAATGATGCTAGTTGGTGTCAGTGAGAAAATGAAAGGAATGTCATTTTCAGTGAAATAGAAAAAGTTGTCAATTACAAATATTTTCATTTGTATCCCCTTACTTCTTAAAATAAGGACGAGCATTCATATTTACGATCCTTATAGCAATATTTAGTTAAAGTTGTTAAGCTCAAATATTTAACGATGCAATAGGGAAATTTCTACTGATATTTTATTGTCGTAAAACTCGCCATGAGCTTAGTGAATTATTAAATGAAGAATTAAGATTCATCAGAAATTTAAAATAGGAAAACCGCGAAATTTTCACGAGTTAAACTAGTCTTATATTAATACTGGTAACTAGAATCTTATATCAATACTGTAAACTCATAAGGCATCTAATCGTCCTCTCTATATGTTAACTAGACTTGTATTTTTTAATCATTTTACCTCAATCAAGGCAATAAAGCCATTAAGACACAAGGGTAAACTAAGTGTGACAAAATATGAGAAAAACACTATTAAGGAGAGAGAACAATAAAAGAACAAGAATTAAGAAGACAGAAGATAAGTATTGACATTGCATTTAAATTTTTGAAGATCAGAATTGACTGGAAAGCAAGAAACCTATAAGAGGTCCACAATCGAGAAGTGCGAGAGAAGAAACTGTTAGTGTAGAACTTACGGTTACATCTAGCCATTTCAACTGTAAAATGAAGTGACCTTGTCACCAATCTAGTACTGTGGTTAAATACATCAAGTCAAGGTATCAAAGAGAAAGTAAATTTTTATTTTGAAAAATACAAAAATGTGACACAAGGCCAAAAGTGGGGAATAGAGGAAGGCTGGTCTTCCAACTGTCTTATCCTAAACTTAGCTGACTCAAACATACCACAGTATTCCTTACATCAAAGCCACACATTTACTCACTGTTCTTACTACAGTCACCATAATACCTCGAGTCTCAAAGAGGAAAGTTTGTCAGAACAATTACCATGAAGATATTTATAGAAAAGGCACTAGGAAAATAGATTAGTGCAGTCAGAAAGTGACTGAAGTAGAAATGCCAGGTCAGGACCAGTAAGAGTGAAGATTTTTTTTTGGATTTTATCTAGAATTTCTAAATACATAGCAGAAGCACCAGACCAGATGTGACAGTAATATTCAATGCCTGGACGAATGGTAAACTTATAAATGTGTAAGATAGATTCTGTCGAGAAAAATTGTATAGTTGTGAACAAACTAATACAAATTAATACGATTTTCTTAATATTTCTAGTCTGTGACGTATAAATTTCTCTCCTGTGCCGTGTGACGACTGACTTATTAGTAGTCGTTCGACTCTATGCAAAATGCCCATGTCACTACCTCTCTCGAAAACGAAGAGGTTTTATACCCTTCGTTGATCTGTGACGAATTATAGTACGAGATCTCAGCTCTCTCTCTTAAGGTGTGTACTTGGTTCTATTTGTTGAGGATCTAATTTATCTTTCCATCAATGCAAAGATACTTTGCATTCTACCAGAATGTGGAATAGTTTTATAACTCAACATTAATCTCGGTAGGTAACTAAATGCCTTCAATCCTATTTTCATCGTTTGAGCCATTCTTTTTGCAATTCCATTCGATTGCGGGTGGTATTAAAACATTTCCGTTGCATATAAGACCTTCTCTATAGTTAACCTGTGCTACATCGCTTTATAGGGTCTCTTTGCCCTAGAACAATTGGTTTCTTTTTATTCTGTCTGCAATCTTCCTTAATACCGGATCCTGTAAGATTTCAATTGCAAGACGATTTAAGGGTAATACATCTGTTTCAATCCAGTGCAATATTTTATCTTTTGAATTCTCTCATTTTTTTCTAATGGGTCATCGTTAAACTTTAGTCTTAATAGAGCATCTACATGTAGAATAGTGTTTCCTTTCGCATATTTGATGTTGAAATAAAAGGCCATGAACTTAATGGCCCATCTTAAATGTCTAGAAAAATTTAACTGTTATAAATAATCAAGAGTGATCTCCCCTTGTTTTGTTACTCTCCTCTTTTAGAGTGCTATTTCTTTTTACTGGGATTATAAAAGGACACTATACACGAATCTTGTATTTTCAGTTGAATAAAGCTTTCTTAAAGACTACACATGCGTACTTTTGCCATTGCAACTATTACGACATTTATTATTATCATTACTATTATTGCATTCTGTTTCATTACTTCTTGCTGTCATCAGTATCTGACTTGTAACTTATACATATACATATATATATATATATATATATATACACACATATACAAGTACTCATACATGTACATACACATATATACAAATTATATATTATTATCATCATAACTATTGTTATGAATAATCAAGAGTGATCTCCCCTTGTTTTGTTATTCTCCTCTTTGAGAGAGCTATTTCTATTTACTGGGACGATAAAAGGACACTACACGCTAACCTTGTATTCTCAGTTGAATACAGCTTTCTTAAAGACTACACATGCATACTTTTGTCATTGCAACTATTACCACAATTATTATTATCATTACTATTATTATTGCATTCTGCTTCATTCGTACTTTTGTCATTATGGTAACTTTAGGTAACTCTTTCAAGGGATGAAAAATAAACTATAAAGGTTTAAGCAGACATTTCATGTAATAAAAATTGTCGAGCTCTATCCTCCATACGATAGCTAACGCTTCTTTTTCAATATTTGAATAGTTAGCCTTGACTGACGTTAACTTTCTAGAAAGGTACATTAGTATGACCTTCTTGAGACAAAATCGCTGATACGGCACGCCCACTTGCGTTTGGAGTTAAAAATCACATTTTTAGGGTAAAAAATTTTACAACATTTTTTTAAAATAAAAAGCCTGCTTTAAAAAAAATTATTCTTTCTTTAAATGTTCAAATGCTGTATTCTGCCATTGAGTCTATTTCAATTCGTTGTTCTATTTTCGTAATTCCGCAAAGAGTTCTATCAATTCACTATACATTGGCAAATATCTGCTATAAAAATTGTCTAACCATAAAAAATATTCCAATTCTTTTTGTGTAGGTGTTTTTGTAGAACTCGCTATGAACTTATTTAACCATCGACTGAAGAATTAAGATTCATCAAAAAATGAAAATAGGAAAACCGTGAAATTTTCCCAGGTCTTTCTAATAAATCATGATATAATTAATGTTTTGTTTTAATGAAAATCGCATTTTCCAAAAAGAAAACGTTATCTTACGACCTAAACTTATTTGAATTGGTTCTTCGTTAAAAAAAATAAATGATAAAATAATTACTTTGTTGTTTTAAAGAAATCAAAATGAGTAATTAAAAAATCCCCCACAAAAAAAAAAAAACGACCAAAAAAACAAAGACAAAACAAAAACAAAGCCCCAATATCCATAGAAACAAATTGACTACTTACAGTGCGACTTTGGTTGTCCGAAGAAATCACCGGAGACTATTGAACAACTAGAGTTATCTCCCTTGCATACACCGCAGATGTCTTTTTTAGCGCCCGAATTGACAATATAATCACAACCAATCGGCTGAAAGAAACAAAAATCACTCATTTTATATTATTATTATTTTCTTGGATTTCTATTGTATACACATTTCTTCCGGGTCACAACAGTGACCTAAGGTCAGAAATAGTTTCGTGATATTTTCCATTTGTAAAACAAAAACAAAAACAAAACAAAAACAAAACAAAAACAAAGATCACTCACATTTTACATAGATAAACTCATTGTAATGTTTAAGCTATAGTTGTGAGAATAATTTTTTGTATTTTTTTAAAGCATGGACTACAGGAATCCCTTCAATAAGTCTATCAATCAATCCGGGTGCTCCAAATACTACTGGAATTATTGATGTCCTCGTGTGCCACATTTTTGAGAATTCCACTTCAAGATCTTTGTATTTTGACAGTTTTAAAGATCTTTAAATAATAATAATAATAATAATAATAATAATGATAATTATTATTATTATTATTATTATTATTATTTCCTTTGGTTTCTGGTGTATACTCATTTCTTTCCGGGTCCCGACCAGAGACCTAAGGTCAGAAATGGCATCATAACATTTTCCGATGAGCAGTTTTGAAAAAAAAAATCGCATATATTTTATATGAAGCCCTTCGTAAAGTGTGGGCTGTACTTGTGAGTACAATTTTTTGTATTTCTTTAAGGCATGGGCTACCAGGGATTTCTTCAATAAGACTATTGGAATTTTTTCCAATTAATCTGAGGGCTCCAACTACAACTGAAATTGTTAATGTTCTTCTTATTATTATTCCTGAACGAAGAGAAGTAGATAAATATTGTACAATAATACATGCAATGATTGACTCTTAGAATTGCTAATTAATCCGTATTGCAGACGTCTCTGACCAAACACATTTATCTTTCCCAAACACTCACAGAGATTTATACTGTAATTATGATGAGCGAACTTTAGGTACAATTTTCTGGGCGAGAGATAGATAGATAGATAGATAGATAGATAGAAACAGACGGCGATAGATAGATAGAAAGCGAGAGAGAGAGAGAGAGAGAGAGAGAGAGAGAGAGTGAGAGAGACAGAGTATAATCTGAAGAAAACAACGCCAGTACTCTCAAATTCTCGGTCACAATGACTAGCAAAACCACGATGGACAGGTTCCGAACAATTTCAACGACCCGTAGTATTGTTTTCAGTGACATACCAACAGTTCTGATGCTGGGATAGTCTCTACAGGTCGATATTAGTCATTTCCGAGAGAAACTATGGCGACATTCGAACTCGGATCTCATACTTAGACCATCAACGTTCTAATCGGTCATTCATGTACATTGGTTATGTTAACAAACTAAACATATGAAACTGGATGTAGTCATTTTCTTTTTTCTCGAGAAAACAAAAGTATTAAACACTATTTTTGTAAATAAAGAGACTAATAAATAAATAGTGTTTATCATTTTTGTTGGCAATTCTCAATTTATTAGGCGAGTGCAAATGAAATAAATGGCCGGAAAATTTATTTAAAATTCCTAATTACAGTTAATCATAGTTACGTGTTTATCCTAATGTTTTTGATTTCTTGTTCACAGGTATTCTTTTATGAATTTATGAATAATAAATGTGTTTTCATCTTTATTTATGAATAAAAAAAATGTATTTTCATCTTTATTTATGAATAGAAAATGTTTTCATCTTGATTGTATTTTAATCTTATGAATAAAAATGTGTTTTCATCTTTATTTCTTTACAATGTTGTAAATAATAAATATTGCTTTGTAGTTGCTTTTTAATTACTTTTTTTTTATAAAATTGTAAATATAAAATTATTATTGTAAATAAACTATTTAATAAAACGAATAGTGTTTAACACTTTTGTTTTAATTATCAAGAAAAAAAAAACCTAAATTGAGCTTATTATGCTTAGGTTTCATTAAAATTAAAAAACAAAACAAAAAAACAAAAGAATCTTTTTAAAAAATAACAATTACTGAAAGTGTATACAGTAACAGCGGTATCAAGTGGAAAGGCGTACTTCTGAATAACCTTTTTATACGGGTACGTATGTTAAACTTTGCCCGAATGGCCAACCACAGCGATATTGGGTGGTGAAAAATGTTGTCTCCTCCTACATAGAGTTAGAAGACCACTTCGAGGTTCACAGATACACAGAGACTGGTGTAGAGGATAGACGTACAAACAAGGACCTGGGACCTGCTCCTAGGCCAAAGGAACATCTCCAGACGAAGGGAATCACAGACCTATTCTGATGAAACGGATACTTGTTATCTGTCAACAACCGAATCCTCTGGTAAGTCACGCTACACATTCTATGTAACGAAGGACAATGTCTCTATTAGCTTCTCTAATAATAATAAATATTGCTGGCGTTATAACTTGCGTCTAAGCATTTTTCTTACTCCTATAGCGAGAAACTGTATAAACTCTATAACAAAAAAAGCAGTGATGCTTCTCTGAAATATAAGTAGAAAACAAAATACAACAGGAAAGGTGGTATTTAAATAAGGATGTTTTACGGTTCTAGCACTTACCAGACACTCTCCTTGGATGCATACATCTGTGGTCATATCGTTACAGCGAGTACCGTCCTTGACCATAGGAGCGAGAGCGTAGAAGAAGCTATAACCATCCGGTTGGCAATAAAGTTTGCACTGGTCAGAAGCTGCCAGAAAAGAAAAACGTAAGGTTAGAGACTGTTAGAAACGGACCAGAAAATGTCACAAATTAGTACATATATTTATTCAATTCCTCGATTTTTAAGTTCAAATATTGCCATGTCTAATGCCCATTGAATATAATAAGTATTGTAATATAGGATCAATATGCTATAATATATAAAAAGATTTAATCATACTAAAGGCCTATTTAAGATAGTTCTAAAGTATATACAAAAATAATTAAAAAAAAAAATAAAATTCTAAATTAATATATATTATTATATATATATATATATATATATATATATATATATATGATCATTTCATTGTATCTTAAAATTATATTCTTAACCGGATGTAATGGTAACACGTCTAAAAATGACAGATCATCTAGACAAGGAACCCCCCCACTAAACCTCTAACCTACATTTTTTCCCTTTTCTGCTTTAGCTTTGACTTGTCTTTTGATTGGTCAATCAGGACATACCCATAATATGTTGAAATCTTGTTTCCCCGCTCCTTCCTAAATTTTTAATAAGATATCATTCTGTTTTCAAAAGTAAATCGTTTTCATCAAAAGTTACCAACATCGCTTGATAATGGAACAAATTTAAAGTTCCAAAACAGAAAATATCCGCGCCGCGATGTAATATATATATATATATATATATATATATATATATATATATATATATATATATATATAAATATAGTTTTAAAGTGTGCAATATTTTTCTTAAAGTGCTCAGTATCAGAGATAGAGCGTATGTAAATATAAATATAAAAGTGAACACGGAAGTCAAATGTTTCATGCTAGGTGCAATGAATATTCGCGGCCTGACCATTGTGCCAAGCATGAAACAGCCTGTCACCTCTGAGTGTTGACTTCAATGTTCACTTATATATATATATATATCAAGAACTTTATTGCAAAAAATGCTGGTATGTCTTTTCTACTGACTGGCAGCGTTTTTGCTTTATACTATCTTTGATATCGCTATTGTCTTAGCTTCTGAAAATCATTTTCAGTTGGGCAGTTTTACAGGTTCTTGTTTTAGTGTGATCACTGTTTTTTTAGAATTCATTTTTGCTATTATATTTTCTCTAAAAAACACTACTTTATAAGTGCATACAAAAAAAAAAAAAATCGTGAAGTAGAAACAATCTTTTGCTTATAACCCCTGACGAGTGGACGGACGGATACGTTTACGTAACTCTGGAGTCGGAATGTTGAAGATATCATTAATCATCTGATAAAGCTTTCACTTATGTTAATTATATTGTATTTAGCAGCAATCCTTCATTTATACATGTTTCATTAAAAACGGCAGACAAGGTACTACGATTAGGCTTTTTAATTAATTTTTCTTGTGTTCGAACAAGTCTTTTCTTTTTGGGACACAGAGTGTGTAGAAACTGTAGAAAATGTCTAAATGAACATTTGTACTGTTTCTACACACTGTGTGTCTAAAAAAGAAAACACTTGTTCTAACGCAAGAAAAATTAAATAAAAAGCTTAATCGTAGTACCTTGTCTGTCGTTTTTATATGAAATATATATATATATATATATATATATATATATATATATATATATTGAACAATAAAAAATATTAAAAATTAAAATCTTCAGACACACTGGGTTGTAGATTAATATTCTTTCGTTTTTTTATTATTATTTCATTTAGATTCCTCGACTAGTTTCGGCCAAAATGGCTATCATCGGGAGAAGAAATATTTCTGCTTGCTGGTAGCAGTAAACTACAAAAATGAATGTCTTGCTGGAGAAAATGAACTTTTGTCTGTAGTTTTCATTTGCTTTTATTTTTATTTTTTTATCTTTTTAACATGAATCTTTTAACATTCTTTGTGTTGGTCAAACAGTCTCTTTTAAGTTGTTATTTGAGATAAGAGCTGGATAGATCTATGCTTCTTTGAATTCCCGTGGTCAGTTTGACAGTTTTATTGGTCCTGGAGAGGGAATGCGTCTCTGTTAAGTGTTTGTGTGTGTGTTATTTGGTTCTTAGGGAGGGAGTGAGTATGATGTGTAAGCGTGTGTATTGCTGTAGGTGTGTGTTATCATTTGGCTCATTAGGGAGTGAGTGAGTATGATGTGTTTAAGTGTGTATATTCGTTGGGGTGTGTGTATAAGTGTGAGGCCTCAACAACTCCGAACGCATGTCTGTCTTGAGTGGGTGAGAAATGTGGGTAGGTTTTGATTTGTAAAGTTATATATTAGTACTATCTGTAAAATCTTTCTAATGTTATCTGCTCTGAATATATATATATATATATATATATATATATATATATATATATATATATATATAGATAGATAAAAAGTGATTGGTCTTTGTCAAGGATAGTAATATACGTAGCAGTTTTTTGTTTGCCATCATGATACTCGTAGTTATGGGAAAACAGTTTGCCTTAATCTACAAAGTCTCCCTTTCGAGATTTAACTCTGACAGACGTAGCAGAGAAACTCCACAAAATAGATACAATAATTCTTTAAGGTGGACATTTATCTCATGTGTAATCAACCATCATCAGTGGGTAAGAGAGGCTAGCAATAGAGCGATATTATTCCAGACAATCTCCTTAATTGAAGCCATGGTCGATTTGTCAGAAATATAATACTCTAACTAATTTAGGGGCATATAGTACCTTGAATCCTTGTTTATATAAGCTAGGTCCATTTTTCAGTATTTGTTTTCGATACATATTCTTATATTAATCCGCATATGCAAACAAATACTTACATATTATATTTCGACTATTATGTGTGTGAAAAACAAACATTCATACTACATTATAAAAATTAATAAAAAAATAAATTTAAATATGCATAAGACAACATATATTTATACAATTCCCTACACTATATTAGAATTTTTTTTTTATAAAAATCTCCATGAAAGGTAAAGTAGATAGATGTGTCACATGATAGATAGTAAATAAATAGATGCACGCTGATTTGCTGCCATTATGAATTTTGAAATAAATGACAGAAGCAAAAATGTATAATAAAAATATATAGATATTATTTTGAGAAAGTATACGCCTGTTTTAAGGTATTACTCTAAATTTTCATGCAGTGTATTAACTATGAAGCTCAGTGGAACAATAAACCTTCTTTGACTTCTTTAGTATTAATTATTAACTTTGTATTCTAAGTACATTTTATCAAAGAAATTTCTCTTTTAATGCAAAGAAGTAAAACATAAATTATCTTTTAATCAAAACACGATAGATTTGCATTATAGCTTTTTGGGTGTTTTTCATTTGGTTTTTGGTCGATTTTTTAAAAAATTATTATCAACTAATGATTAATAAAAAATGTACTTATTATTTTCAAAATTATACTTGTTATTTTCAAAAAGACTACACCTGCTTTAAGCTATTCCTCCAAGTGTTACCTATGAAACTTAGTGGAAAAATAAACCTTTAACAGTCTTTAAATACAAATTAAAATGTGTAATTAATAATAAAATTGATAATATTGTTATCGCATAATTTTTTTTAATCATGAACTGCTTTTAAAAAACCCGACAATTTTATAACTGGTCTAGCATAAATTTATAAATTGATGAATTAATAATTCTGAAAGCGATTTATCTCATATATATATATATATATATATATATATATATATATATATATATATATATATATATATTGGCTTCCCAAAAAAAATTTCGCTTGAAGATGGAACAGAGCTTTTTAACTCAATTTAATTTAATAATTATATTGAAGTTTTCGGCTCTTGTTTTGAAACATGAGACTTCTTATGTCGCGTTTTGGAATCATATTTTTTAAATAAATATATATATATATATATATATATATATATATATATATATATCAGACTAAGTGAATGACAAGATGGAATAGACTGTTTGTTACGGCTTTCGTTCCAAACAATACTTAGTCCGAAGAAGTTCCTCATCGGAACAAGATGTGTCACTAATAAGAATTTTCATCTTGTCATTCGCCAAGCCAACTTTCTGTATATACATTCAACCAAATAAATAATTAAATGCTCTAAGAACCTAGTCATGGCTTTCAGACAATTTCTGCGACCATATTACCCCTTCCATATGACCAACTAACTCCCCAGACTGCAACCCCCTTGATTATTATGTGTGGGGCGCAGTTGTCTTTCTCCGACAATCAAAGAAGCAACAAATATTTACCTTCTGTCCATCTTGTGTAAGGTTTCCACTTGTAAAATCGTCCATGGAAAATTTTCGCATTGTACGCTTGGCACTGTTCGGCTCGGTAATCTATTTGGCTTTCTGGACATCTCTGCAGAAATCAGATAAACAAATGGAATAACAGGAGAATAATTCTATGGAAACTAAGTGGAAACATCATTAACCAATCAACGTTTCTGCTTGTAAATTCTTCGACGAGGGTAACGAAATGATCAAATTGAATGGGAAGAACGATTTTAAATACAAGTTAACGATTATTTACATTATTCAGATTATTGTCCTCATCTTTGTCGCCATATTTATTACAACGTTTCGGCTGTTGTACGCTCCGACCTTCTTCAGGTGGTTGGAATGTCGAACGCTCACTGGGGTAGACTTTTCTAGTTCTACGTGCCATGTTTAATCTGCTATTAATTTCCCTCTGAAAGTTCTCCACTGCCTTAACCTTTGAACTCACACTCTTTGGGTTCTGTCACTGGATCTAACCAACGCCTTTATCCACTGTGCCATGTGTCCTTGTGAACATCTG